ATTTGATCACTTTTTCCTCCCAGTTTTTACTGGAATACAGAAGCCATATAGTTTAAGACTGTTTAAGACCATTCTGAATTAAATTTAAGACCTATACTACAACAGAAATGTTCAAAAGAAAATGTGAGCTTTTAAATAATAGTAATGGCAAGATTTCTTGCACAGAGTGAATGTAGCATCGTATGGGTTGGAAACGGAAGTGAGCCAGTGGAAAAGATGAACGTCATCAAGCAAACCAGCGATAAAGTTACACACAAAAAGCTAGCTGACAAGGGGATGTTAGCAGCTAGTTAGCCGTAGCTCCCACCGCCTCGAGTCAGAAAATGCAAAGGAGATATCTATCTGTACGTGACTTAAACGTTTGTCTGACAGAAAATTTCAGGAGAAAAACAAACTATATAAACTGTACAAGATTAAATAATCCTGCTAACAAGATTTAAGACCAACTTACACGTTGACATAAATGTAAGACTTTTTAAAGTACTTAAATTTAAAATGTTGTTTTATCTACACATAAAATAACATCAGAATCAATGTAGCGGAGCAACACAGAACATGCCTTTTTATTGCAAACATTTTTCTTCTTAACAGTTTGTGCTTCTTTCTACACCGAGCAGACCAGCAGGAATCAGAAACGTTAGCTTATCAGCTCCGTTAAAAGCACACACCAGGTGGGTTTTCATCCAAACAAAGCTACATTCTGTGATTCTTATCTATCGGCTTCCCTTGGTTGAGCTGAACGCAAGTGTGTGCGTATGTGTGTGTGTGTGTGAGCGTGTACGTGTTGCCCTTCTTTTTTCCAAGGAAAACAAACAAATTCGACCACATTCCAGCTGCCTCCGACACGCTCACAGAGGTAGTCCTGTGTACATCCGAGTGCAAACACATTCAGTGCGTCTGAATTTAGGTGAGATGAAGAATGTCAGGGCGGGGGAACTGACGGCCGTTCCTCAGCCTGTCACGACCTTCCACTGGCTGCTGAGTTTGTGTGTGACAGTGCAAAGTCTGCTGAGTCTCCTGAAAAGTATTGTAGTCACATGACGTTACAGATATAGCGGAAATTTTACAACAGGATGTTCAGCTGAAGAAGGCTGCAGTCTTGCAAAGCTCTCCGGGGGCGGAGGGAGTGGGAGGAGAGATTTGAGCTCTCAACACATATTATCAGAACTGCAATTAACAACCAGCTTTGAGACGTAATTACAGCGAACAAGCCCAGGCTGTGAATCTCCTGGGTCTCTCTGGAAGGAGAATATTTCTCTGGCTGTGGCTGCAAACCTCAAGAAGGGGTTTCTCCATCTGCGCTAGTTCTTCCACACACATCTGGTTTAGCCATAAAAATCTGGCTTAAGGTACCTGGCAAAAGTATTTATACAACATTTTTGCATTTTTTTTAACACGACAGCCACAAACTTCAATGTACTTTCCTGGTGGGATTTCAAGTGAAAGTAAAGTTGTGCAGAAATGTGAGGTTAGGGGAATTGTGCACGATTTTCAAAATCTTTACAAATTAAAACTTGAAAGTTGTGGGTTGCTTTTTTTATTCAACCACACAAACACCTAAACGTCAGAAGTTTGATGATATATCAAACTTAAATAAAAGCGATTAGGCCTGTCACAATAGCAGTTATTGCAATAAATGATAAGAGTGTTCTGAGACCATCTTCAACTAATATGATGGTAATAATAATTAATTAATGACCTTTAAATTCCAATGAACATTTAACACTGGAACTGGAAGACATCTTAAATATCCAACATAAATAAACAAAACAAATAAAGTGGATACTGAAGTCTCTGTAAACTAGTTGAGACCAACCAGACTGAAGGTTTTTGTCATCCAGACATGAGAAAAACAATCATGCAAATAGAAATTAAGGAGTTCATTTTAATTTATCATGCAATTAATTAATTTATTAGTTATTACGACAGGCCTCCCTAACCTAATACTGACCCTTTGTTTACTTGGTATCAGATCAATACCCCCAAACAGCAGTGAAAGACATTTAACTGTTAACACATACAACTATTACATGCTCTGATCTCATTGCCTGGGCCTTTGTAATGGTATTGTATCCATGTCAATTTCCTTTAATTATATAATAATTAAAAAATTATTATATGCAGCTGAATCACCAAACAAAAGTAAAGTCCAACATATATGAAAACATGAAAAGGCAGGTCAAGATTTCAAGCCTATTATTTGGTTCACTGTAGAACGTAAAAGCTGAAGAATCATTATGACTCAAAATGTTTTGTAAGAAGCTCAAACCTTTATCAGCTATGATGGTATCAACATAAAAATCTAGAAAACAGTTTTTTCCCCCCTCCACTGCACACTTTTATTGAAGAGTACATGCAAACAAATGTGAGGCTTTTTCTGTCCTCTGTAAGAAATAAAAATCAGAGATTTGTGTTTGATACGAATGTAGTGGTTTGAACCTTTAAACTGCAGCAGCTAACGCCGCCGCTTCAGGCCATTTCTTTACCTTAAGCTGCCCGAGGCAACAACACAGATGAGCGGCTAAACATTTGGTCAAGAAAATGAAAAAGAAAATCCCTCTTGACATGAACAATTTCTACAACCATCATCTTAAAACAGCAAGCTAAGCTAAATCTGATCCTCCTAATCAATGCACGTTATTTAGCCTCCCATGTTCTCAAGTTATATTCAACTGAAACACTTTCTAATCTCTCACTCTGACAAGCCGCTAAATGCTCCGTATAACAGAGGAAGTATGCTGGTAATATTATGACTATCTGTGCGAGCAGAGACATGTTTCACAACGCTCAGTCGCAAGCTAGCTCACTGCTGCAGTCCTGGTAGAAACAAGAAGAGTAGAGTTGGAACAACAACAACAAAAAAAGCTTTAAAAAAAATCTAAAGTTTGGACCGGTAAACTTGTTCCTCTTAAAAGAGTAGAGGAAGTGTTCAGCCAGCTGACTGGCAACACACATCAAAGCTCACATTCATGTACATGAAGCCCAAGCATCAACTCCAGTTAGCAGGAAACAATGTGGTGAAAAATAAATGCCTCCAGGTTCTTCTGGTTTGCTTTAGAACATGTATTTCTTGTAGAAAAGTTGTTACCTGACTCTGAATTGATGCAACTCTAACCTGAAGTGCATAAAACAAGAGAATATTGTGTTTATTTTGTTTATTAAACTGAGAAGAAGCACAAATAAAAAAATAAGCATGACTCAGCAGCCTGCAGAAACACCTCCTGAGTCACTAATGTGAGGCAGTCATCGTCTCTGTTATGCTACAAGACCTTCGTATTTCTTCTTTTCTAAGCAACGTTCAGTTTCACAACATTTATTTCTACACAGTTTTTCCGTTGAGTCTGAAGAGTCTGGGTTTTTCTTCTTCAGTCATCCTGCTCTACCGTCCCACTGAGTGACCCAGTTTGGGCCGAGCTTTAACTTTCAGACATGGTCTTGACATACAGGAAATTCGTGGTCAACTCAATGACGGCAAGGGCTTCAAAATGAGCCCACAGCATGAGTCCTCCACCACCATGCATTGTGTTTGTGCCAATATGCTTCGTTTGGTTTTTCCAAACGTGAAGCTGTGTACTTTGATCAAATATAACATAATAATTCTGCTCTCATCTTTCCAAAGGACATCTTAGTTCATTCAGATCATGGCTCTAACTGGATGCAAACAAGTGCCAGGACTATCTTTAATGTCATACATATATGGGACAGAGATGTGGGTGATTTTTTTTTCCGTCTCACTGTGGCTCAATAATTTTATTGTGCAGAAATGTCAAAGGATAACAGAACGGCTTCATGGAGCCACTTTTAATAAGTTCAAGCCTCGTGGCGTTAACCTTGTGGTTTCATGACATGTCATTGTCATGAAAAATGACAATGACATGTTCTTTTAGACAAGACTTCAGCAAGCTTGACCTGCACACATGCAAAATCGTATCAAGTATTTTGGTCTAGTTTCTAGTGCAACAATATCTTAGTTACTTGAAATAAAACCAACTTATAACTAACTTCCCACAGGAAAACGTTTTGTTCTACTGGCAGATTTTTTCACGTATAACTAGTATTTCTTTCCTCAGTGTTGTGGGATTACTGACTTAAAACAAGCTGCTACATCTTGCTGGAAAGTTACTTGTTTTGTCTTATTTCAAGGGATAAGATATTTTCAGTAGAAACTAGACACTTTAAGCATTGATCCAGTAAGACTTCACAAACCCAAGTCATGCTGCTAGGTTTTGCTCTTGGCAATACTTGCACTATTTTTCAAGTTGTTCAGTTCATTAATTTTTGAAATGAGCATTAATTTTGCTCATTTTCAAAATTAATGTTTGCTTGTGAGCAAACATTCATTAAGGAATGCTATGTTATTGCATTTTAGGCATTATTTTTTTAAAAAGAGCTGAATAATGTGTTTATTTATATTTTTTAAATATTGTATAAGCTGAGATGGATTAATGAAAAATCTGCATAATGTACAAATTTAGTTTATCCAATGAATTGATTAATCATCAGAATTATTCACTTAATTCTGATGATTAGTTGATCATATTTTTCGAGAGTACATTTCCGAACCCCCCTTTACTACTATTACATGTGCAAGTCAGTTGCGTTATGTCTCTGTCAACTTTGGACAACTACAGACTCAAAGATTTGCTGCTTTTTCAAACTGGAGAGCATTTGTGAGCATCAATTTTTAAGGCTTCCGACAGACTGGCCTGGACTTTGACTGGGACATTCTAACAGATAATATTTTGATCCGTTCTGACCTCACCCCTGTCTAAAGTCTGCTGCAGCCTCCAACGCCTTTTCTTGCTCCATCCATCTTTCCATAAACTTTAAACAGCTTTCCTGTCCACAAGGTTTGAAGTTGAGCCGTACTGTTTCTGTTCTGCAACATTCTCCCTGACCTGTTTACCCAAATTTCAGAGTCTTCTAACGTGTAAAATGTACTTTTTAATGACCTGTAAGGTAGAGACTGGAGGACCGTAAGCCAGCAAACACCGACTGACCTTGATTGGGTCTGTGCTGAAGCGAATCTTTCTGCTGGGCGGCGGGGCCTCCTCTTCTTCGGGGAGACCGGGCATCTCGGAGCAACTGCTCTCCGGCTGATATGCCTCCTCGTCTTCTTCGTCATCCTCGTCATCCAGCTGGCTTCCCCCTGAATCCTCCTCGCCGATTCCGCTGTAAGCACTGATTTCTATGAGATCTCCTTCCGAGTAATCCTCCCTGCGCGAGCCGTCCTCGTCGTTCTCGTCCTCTTCTGCTTCCCTCCATTCAGAGTCTTCTCTCTCGCCGGAGGAAGGCGGAGGTTCTTTCTCCCGATTTTCTAGTGAAGCATGAACCTCAGCCTGCACCAACGTTCCTCCGGTTCCCTCATTGGACACGTCCTTTTCTTTGGCCTGGGACTCCACCATAGTTGAATCCGTTTCTTCGCTTCCTTCCACCTGGGACTCAGATTTTGCCTCAAATGAGGCTGACGTTACAGTCACTGTAATCGAAGGCGTTGATGAGTTTAAGTAGTGGTCTAATGACAGTCCAAACCCATCGTTTTCTTGGCATGTAGCCTGTCCTGCAGCGCTCCTTTGTACAGAACCTGCTGCTTCCGGTGGCACAGCTGCTGTGGTGTTTGTTGTTTCTGCTGTTATCTCCTTTTTGGCCTCCTTACCAACAGAATGTGCCTTTGAATGCAAGAAAGATCTGTTTTAACTCAGTTAATTCAAATGGGGGGTTTTTTATGCAAGTGTTCAACACTTTTTACCTTTTTTTCAGCTGCATCTCCTTTAGCTGGAGGTTTGGGTTTTGGCGCTAAGGCAGGGGCTGACCGACGCTGGGGGAGGTAGAGGTTGTTTTGCACGTCGCCCTTTTCAAACGCCGCGCTGAGCTGGCTCACAGTGGGGCTGACCGCCTCACTCGGGCCAACCGAAGCCGCAGCAGACGGAAGGGTAGCAGGACTGGGTGCTGGAGGATCGTCCAGTCGGTCCAGAGCTTCTGTTGACCCGTTAAAGCGGGCCACAACGTCTAGACGGCTGTCCTGAAAGCCCGAAGCACGCTCCTTTTTCAGCAAGATGCGGTTGGTAGCGGCTTGCTTCTCCTGACAAAGAAACACCAATCAGTATCAAACCTTAGGGCAAGCGGATTAGAGGAAGTCGACATATTGAGGAACTTACCTGTAGAGTTCGTTGTTCAAAGATTCGCCTGGTCTCCTGGAGCTTGGACAGACCAAAAGATGAGTTTCCACCTTCTGATCCTGTTTTAGAGTCAAACCTGTTGACTCTCTCTGAGACTGAATCTCCAAGTTTCAGCAAGGCGCTGTGGTTGACATTCTCATTGAGACTTGAGGCCCTTGGAATCGATAATTTCAGTGCCTCTTCCTTACCTACAAATGACAAATGATTAACTAAACAAATAGTTTAAAACAACCTAATCAGGATGTGCCCCTGAAGGAGCCTGCTTACCTAACATTTTGGCACCATCCTCTTCATCACCTGGAGACTGCATCTGCATGAACATGTTCTTGATGCGGTGGACGTTGGACCCGTACCGCTTGCCCCTTCCAGTCGGGCGGGGGAGAAGGGGAGGTTTGGAGCCGGGGTTGGGAGCTCCGTTGGCGGCATTGTTGAGGTGGTCAGTGGCCTTCTTCAGAGCCGCCAGCCCCGCCTCGTAGGCATTGCGGTGAGGCGAGGGACTCCGCAGGTTGGAACCGCCGTTGTTCCCACCAGAGGCCCCGTTCCCCCCTGTGGCCGATGGGGGTTCAGTCTTCATCATTTTTGGTAAGTCAAAAGCCCCTGGGTGAACGGCAGATTAACAGGGATAAAGGGGGCCACATCCTGGTGCTGCTTTACATTCGCCTCCTGTAAACAGAGCAATGACAGCTGTTGATATGTGTCAGGTAATTTTGCTGTGGGTCAGTTTGCCCCTTTGCTGGTTGGTATCTATACTTTGCCATTTTGTCCCCTCTATATTTTATTTCCTACTCATAAACCAACATTGTACCCAGGAAGTTATACTTGGGCTGGACAATAAATCAATAAGAATATACATTGCGATAGCAACGTGGTCGGTATCAATAAATAATACATCTGATCCAGATCTCTGGATCAAATGTATTACTCTGATCCAGATCCGCGCAGCATTCTGGGGAATGTAGGCATAGGAAAGTCTTTAGCTGCTCAACCTCACGGTTGATGGCATCAGCTAAACTCACTGACTCACTTTTTACGTAAGTGCAACAACTAGTTGAGTAACTCGTGGTTACCTAGCAACAACTAGTTGAGTAACTCATGGTTACCTAGCAACAACTAGTTGAGTAATTTGTGGTTACCTAGCAACAACCTATTGAGTAACTTGCGCAGCAGCAGTTTAATTTAAAGTTTTGTGCCTCATAGCTGCTGGAGCAAAAACTGTCGATAACAGAATAAAGGTCACGCCACCAGTTTGAGAGTATTTCAGATATTGAAAACAAAAATGAATCAGTAATTATTGATATCGGCCAATGCAGATTCTTATATCATGATTTGTTTTTCAGCCATATCCTCCAGCCCTAAGTTATGCCCTCGCAATCACTTCATTGTCAGAAATTTTAGTACATAATGCAGATCAAGCTTTATAGAAACGCTCAAATTTCTCAAATAATTTCACTTATTTTCTGTTATCTGAAGATTTACACTTCATTCATCTATTTTGGTTCTGATCCCAGTTTGGGCCAGTCGACTCTTTCAGAAAATGACGTCTGAAAAGCTGAGAATATAAGGCTAGGGAATAGATCCATAGAAACACAACAACAGATGATGAGTTGGTTATAGAAAATAACTTCAAGCCATTTATTGTATAAAACGTTTTTTTGTTGTTGTTTTTTTTATGAAGATCAACACAATGACCAAAACCACAAGGGTATAAAATGGCAAAAGCGGCAAAAAGACCAACCCCTATTTATTTTGTTAGAATATTTCTAATGACAAAACACAATGCTTTACATTGTCATTTTTCATAAAACATAAACAGAAATAATAAAAACATCTATAAAGAACAAAACAGAGGGTCCTCTAAACATGGCACAATTACAGCTGCCCCTGTCTGTTCTGTACACCATTTCTGAGTGACGGAGACAATCGGCTTGGATTCTTGTGCTTGTATGATGCATGAGATGTTAATCAAGGTTTTTGAAAGTTACGTCTTCAAAACCGTTAAGATTTTACGTCATACCGTATTTATGGCTAGAAGAGAAAACATGATAATTTTTTGCGGATTATGTATAGATACAAAAAATGCAAAGTTGGCTGTTCAGAAATATTTTGGATTGCATAAAAAACGGACGGTCATGATGTGGAAACTAAGATGCACCAGTCATCACTCTTAAAATGTTAATGCTGTATTCAGATGGCAGTTGGTCAGAAACCAGTGGCGTAATATCTACATAATAACTGCCTGAAAGCTGACTGAGCAGATAGTCTGACTGCTTAACCTATGTCTTTTATAACAATAGAGAACATTATTATGAATGCAGTCATCAATTTCTTTTTACTTTTAGCTGCAGTAGACATTTCTGTTGTAGAGAACAGCAATGAAATTATGTCCTGTAATTTTGTTTATAGTTTTAGCAGAAATTGTGTCAAACTGATATATTCACAGAAGGTAAGAATCACATAATGAATGTGGACTAAATGATTCAAAAGGTAATCCGTCAGACAAATACATGGCTGCTTGTCATTGTGATAATCCTTTCACAAAATGTATATTCTGGAGACTCCGATGACCTTTTTAATAGTTAAAAGGATGAATCTCATTTTTTTCAGACGTGTCTGTGGGATTTGTGTGAAAAATCACAGCTGAGGTGTGAGGATTCATACCACCAGTGAGTCTACACTGGACATATAACATAAATTTGCTCTAAATTTGACATACTTAACAGGAACAGTGCCACAGAGGCACTGTCTGAGAGCTGTCCAAAAAACTGAACTGGTCTTGCAGGTTCTCAATCAATGGAGTGGAAATGGTGGTGATGATGTCACCAATACAGACTGTATTTGGGTCATGTTTCATCACACTACTGAAAAAAACAAAAACATCCATAAAAAGTCTTAAATTCATCTATCTAAAATTAAGGCCTTAATCAGTTTAAATCAGTTTTAAAAAGTAAGTTGATATGTAAATATGTTAACCACAGGTCTTACATTTTGTTGTGACTGGACTATTTTATCTTGTGTGATTTCATACATGTACATTTTTTTCTTATGGAACTTTCCTTTCAGGCAAAAGTTTGAGTCATGCCCAGACATATTCACTGTGTTCTGTGCCTCAAGGCAGTTGGAGCTACAGACAATTATTTGCTAATATCCTCTTGGTACCTAGCTACATAGCTTTTTTAACTTCTGTTGCTAACCCATACAAGGCTAAGTGCATTTTGCGCAAAGAGAACTTTTAAGCTTGGCACTACAGGGGTTATATGTAGCGTGAAAAGCATAGCACCACCTCCAAGAGCCACAAAGATTTAGCGTTTTCAGTGCCTCATTATCAAGATCCCTCAACCTCCCCTATATTTACATTTTTTTCTATCTTAAAATTAATTCAACGTGGCATGAAAAAGACCTTAAAAAGTCTTTAATTGGACTTGCTGAAACTAGATATCTTGAGAAAGGCTGTGTGACATTTTGATGTCTTGATCAAACACAATTTTCTACTTACAGGTGGGTGATGCTGAGGTATGCCAAGCAATTAATGATTTGACTTTTAATGTGGATGAAGAGACTGTAATGAAAATAGCTACCTGAGCAGATAGCCTCGCTAACTCATAAATTGCAGGGTTTACCCCAGAAAACCTGCTAAGACCAGTGGTAGGGGTGCGAGGGCAGTCCACCAGCACAATGTTTTGTGTAAAATCTTTTTATTTGTAAACGACAAAATTTCAAAGCTGCACCATCAGGCATCATAATTTGGAAATAACAGTGTGTGAGGCCAATGGACAAATGCAGGGACGGCACAATTGGTGCGCAAACCTTCGCATCCAGTTCAATGCGTCAACTATAAACCTAGCTTTATCCGTTTTTACTGTCTTTGTTACTGGTGTATAAAAAAAAACAAACAATTTGAAATAAACAAACAGAACTTAGCCTGTTGGGGTGGGCAAGTAAAGCCTGATGGCCCGCCAGGCTTATAACACCCTGAACTGTGCTTTTCTAGCATCTTTTTCAAGGTTATCATCTGTTACTGCTCAGTCTGTAGTTGTATTTACTGCAATCAAACTCATACAGGTGTATCTACAGATAAATTGCAGAACAATAAATAAGGCCAAGCATGTTTGTATGCCAGCTCATTGTAAACAGTGCTTAAAGGCGGTCTGGGGAATAGCAAGGAGTGTTTACGCTACTGTGGTCCCACAGCAGCTCCTGATGGCACTGCTGACACACATACACACTGCAACTGCAGTCTTGTGACACTTTTTTTGGCCAAATAATGGATTCTTGCACACTGATCATGTGGAGCAAATATGATGCAAACAATCTTTACAGAGGCCTAGAGGAAAACACACACACACACACACACACACACACACACACACATACACATATACATAGAAAAACACACAAAGAAAAGCAAACGGCTGCTCCGCGGCTCCTCGCCTCTTTCCTGTTATTGTTACCATGAAGCTGGTGGCTCCTGTTTTAGGTGAAAAACACGGGAGAACAAAAGCTGAATCCAGTAACCCCACCTCTGCGTGACTTTGGTGCATCTCTTCTTCATTGGTGAGGAAGAAACAACAAACTACAGCCGCAGTGCTCTCCCAAGAACAACTCCATCTGCCTCCTGCTGGGTTCCTAATCTCCTGTGGTTTGGAGCTGTTTCCTGCTATTCAGCCTGGATGATCACTCCTAATTGCGTCTTTGTTTTTCTTCCTGTTTAAAGATGGAGACTTTTGCTGTTTGGTGAGAGGCAGCTAGCAGAAATGTATGTCTAGGCCCCAGTTGGGGGTAGCAGAACGTGTAGAACCCGTCCAAGGATTGATGCGGCTCTAAACGGAATTCTATTAGAACCTGTAGACTTCCTTCAGTCTGAAGAACCTCCTTGCTACATGGAAACAGGCCAACCGACTGTGTCTCTGTGCAACCCCAGGTGTTTCATTTTAGTTGTTAAAATATATTTTTTACTCACACACATTAATTTGTAAATGCTCAATAATGGGAACATTCTCAAAACACCAGCAGCTTCATTTTGGTAACAAATCCCACCTAAACATTTTGATAACAACCTAACTAAAAATATTGGTTAAGTCAAACGGACATACGTGTCATTCATTGTCAATAGCTGCCTCAAGGTTAAGAAGTTTAGCTTGCTAGCAAGTTAGCTATTCAGTCTCAGAGAACAGTAAGGATGACATGTTTATATGTGTTGTGTTATGACTACATATGAATATAATTATAAAACCCGGTAACACTTTATTTGAAGGGGGTTGAATAAGACTGACATGACACTGTCATAAACATGACATAACATCTGTCATGAACATGAATAAGCCTTCTTGAATATTTATTCAAAATGTCTTTGTTATGACCACTTGACATTAACCAACTTTATGTTATTAAAGGTAAAGTTTAAACAGTAATTATTTCTTGGTTAATGTCAAGTTGTCATAACAAAGACATTTTGAATAATGTCAACTTTGTATTAAAAGTGTCATAATTTACCGAATGACGCTTTATGACAACAGTCATAAATATTCATGAAGACTGATTCATGTTTATGTCAGTGTCATGTCAGTCTTATTCACCCCCCTTCAAATAAAGTGTTACCTAAAATGCTAATAAAAGTTTGTCTGGTTGAGACTTGTGGTTGAGAAAGTTGACTTGTTGCAGCAAGAATTTAAGATTGGATCTAGATTTAACTCCTTTAGTGACAGTCACTTGCTAGCAAGCTAAGCGAACTAACTTTTACTAAGTTCTTTATGAAATTCTTTCTTAATGAAATAAGTCAGGATCAAAAGATCAAAACATTTTTGTTAAGAAGCAAACTGTTATATAATTACTTTACGATAAACCAATAAGCCTTTAGGTTTCTGCTGGATAAGACAAAACAAATCAGAATAGCTAACTCGCTACCAACCTAAGCTACACTAACCTTGTTGTTGTCAATCGACGGCACAACTTCAGTGGTGAAAGTAAAAGGTTTTCATGTCACCTTGTTAGAGTAGATTAAAATTTCACTACTTCACAAATGCTTTTCTTATTTTTATATCTTCACACAAAGAATAAAACAACTTGCTAGCAAGTTTGACCTTAGCGCTTTTGCTAGACTATTTCTTAGCCACAAGCTTTATGACAGTTCTTGACTTTTACCAAGTTGATATCGTCATTCCTAATAAAAAAAACATAAAATCATATCGGTGATCTGTCCTTGCCTCTTTAAGTTTTAATCTACACCAAAATAAAATGTTTTTTCTTGTTGCAGTGATTGAACTTAACACAAACTAATATGTTTGATTAAAATTTAATCAGTTTTAATGGATACTATTCAACATCCTCCAAAAGGTATCTGTATGATGTATGGGTTGTTTTACAAATTAATATATCAACTCAGTAAAAATTAAGAAATCCAAGAAGAATGGTAGAAAAAGTACTTGTGCTGGAGCAAGAATATAAGTTTAGATCCAACTTTACCCAATTAAGCGACAGTGCTAACGCTAAACTCAAACATATAGCAGGCTGAGCCTCTTAACAATGAGTCACTAGCTGCCAACGAACCACACATCTTAGCTGTGGTTGTCAAGGAAAACGTTTTACACGCCAGCTTGTTTACTAGTGATGTTTTATGCCCTTAACCACAACCCACTCATAGTTGCTGTTTTTTTTTACATGCTATAAAGTTAAATACTAACCAGACTAGATAAATTATATGGTCGGGATGTAACTCTGTAAAGTTACATCCCTTGAAGTTACATAGTTGAGTGAGCACATTTTATAAACGGGTTTGAATCTAACTAACTAGTTTTCTTTAGCTATTTTTTATAATGTATCTTCCTAAATATCCATTAAAATAGAATTTTTATAAACCGCTGCACCAATTTCAGTGGTTAAATTCAAAACTGCTTCGTCAATGTACAGGGCGGCACAGTTTAACTAATGCTAACTTGTGGGGAAAGGAATCAAGTACGAGCTTTCTTTCAGTAACAGGTGGGGGTGTGGGGGGATGTTCACTTTTAAGATTTTTACTGGAATCACATCAAATCACCACAACAAAATCTTTTGCAAAAAAACAAAAAAAAACAAAGGGCAAGATGGAAAACTATAGCGGTTGAGATTTATTTTAGTTGCTCTGATACAAATAAGACACGGGCTGCTTTTACTTCCTCTTTGTGATATTATCCGTTTATCCCGCAGTACCTATTGCGAATGCATGTGGATGTAATTATGCAAATTTGGCAATTATATCAGTTAGCAACTTTTACAGCAGCTATTAGCTATTTTTCAGACTGAGCAGTGTGCCACACTGGGGTTGAAGGCCTGAAGCAGCTACATAGTTCCCTTATGCCTTGGGCTGGCTCTGATTATGTGCTTAAACCTGTTTATTACATGCCATAAAAGCTGCAGTAAAAGCCCTGCTTCTGTCCCAGCACTTCCCTTTAATCAGTTCTTTCTGCTCTAGCGACTTCTGTCATCTAAATCCATGGATTCCAGCGCATAAGATTCTCTCTCTTATAGCATCTGATATCAGAGGATCCCGGCCTCCTCCAGCAGATGCCACGCGCACCGGGTGCAAGTCGCTTCAACACATCATCTTCCTCATCTTTCCCCACCTAATCTCTTCTGTCCTCCTCATCAAACATTTGGCAGCATCCCAAACACACACACACACACACACACACACACACACACACACACACACACACACAGAGAGAGAAACACACGCATGTGCATCTGGCCGGTCACATCTGTCTGCTTGCATCAGCAGCTCCGGTCACATCAGTGTTGTGTGTTTTTCTCCTGAGTGATGCCCGCACAGCATCTCCCCATCGCTGCTCGTCTGCGTGCGTCACAAACACGCAGCGTCCAACAGAAGGCGCATTATAGTAAACACAATGAGTCCGTCTATTCCCACGACAATCCCCGCATCTGTGCAGGAGACACCCGGGCCTGGACTGGTGCGGCTGGGAGGAAGCTGCTGCTGCCGCTGGTCAGGATGTTTGTAGAGGCACTTCTTTATATATATGTATACCTACGTATATTTTCCCAACTGTGCATAATGTATTTGTTACTTTCAGTTACATCGCTAAATATGTGTGTTGAAAAATAGAAAAATACATATATTTTTTTTATTTTATAGTTCAATTTTGATTTTAATTCGAGCATTTTAATACTTATCATTTGAGCCGAATGGATCAAGAGACGATGTCGGGTTCATGTACATCAGGTCTGACATCCTCAGTGACAACCATCTCTGCTGGGGAGGCTAAAAATGTCAAATTGCTGATTTTCATAATGGAGTTTGGCGGGGGCACGTNCCGGATNGGCGNTCGCGCTGTGATTTTTCGGTCCGCCCGGTTCGGTCACGAGCAGCGGAGGCCCAGCCAGAGCTGCGGTCGAATAATTCGGTGTCACCGGCTGCTTTGGGAGACGGAGGCAGACGGTCAGCAGGCCCCGCTGGGTGTCTGCTGCTGAGCTACTGCGCTGCTTCCTTCCTGCAGCTTCCCCCCTTCGTCACCTCCACCCTCCCCTTCTGCCGCTGGCAAACAGCACATTTCAAAAGCGGGACGAAAAAAAGAAAAAAGAAAAGAAAAACACCGAGCCGGAAGGTGACCCGTTCCGCCGCAAGTCATACCTGGTAATCCAGTTAGTTGGAGCAAACCCGGTGTCCGTTATGATCTGGAGCGGAGACAGCCCATTGTCCTGCTGTTGTCGCTGATTCCTCCTGTGAGTGCCTGCCTCCTCGCTGCTCCTCCTCCTCCTTTCGCTCATCATCTGTTTTCCTCCATCCCTTTCTCCCCACCTCGCATTTCCCTCCTCCTTTCTCCTTCTTGATCAGGGGCGCCTCCACAAAGTTCGCAAAGAACTGGCCAGATGGCGGACACTAATTATAATCTTGGTCTGGCACCAGGGCCCGTCCAAAATTGTTTGAGGGCGGAAGTGGAATCGAAATTGGGGCCCCAAGTTCACCTCAACCGCTGCTATGTTTACATAAATAGCAACCAGCCTGCCTCACAAATAGAAAATTATAAGACAATTAAACATTTTTGAATGTAATAATTATTTGTCTATTATAGATAAATTCCATTCAATTAAAAATACGTCATTGATCCCCATGGGAAATTAATTAACAGAATTAAATTGAACACATCTTAAAAAATATATACATATTTTGAAATTCTAAGACTTTTTTTCTCATATAAAGATCAACTTCCACTAACTCAGTGTCTCCAACCTGAGGCTCCGGAGCCAACAAATGTTTTTAGATACAGATATAATAACAAATGTGGGGTTTTATTATTAATCTTTTCTTCATGGAATAATTGCAATGAATTTCCACAACAGTCGATGCATAGATCTGTGTTTTGGTGTGATTTTTTAATCTTTTAATTTTTTATATGTGTCTGTGAAAAATAGAAATAAATCTGTGGTTCTTTAAAAATGACAACAAAATTGTCATAGTAGATATGTTTTTGCCAACAAGTCATGTAACATTTGTAGCTCTAGTGAATTTTATTTCACCGTATGGAGGGTGAAAGCGCTCTTTGGATTGTAAGGTTGCCTGAATATAAAATAAACAGCAAATATATACTTTTTTTTTTTCCTGTGTTACTCATTTGGTCCGGCAGCTGCATTTGCTGCAGTTCTAAACAACAGCTTAACTTGTTTTTGGCTTGGACTGGCTCTGGTTTCACAGAGAAACTCCCATTTGTAACAGAATTTAGGGATTTTTATTAAAGATTTCTGGTTAGGATTTCATTTAAACCTGTTTCAATGTGTTTTTATGTGACATGCTGGAAGATTCCATCAGAAAAGTCCTCGGTCCAAGACAGAATTTTAAAGCTTGCATCCTTTTAGTGCAACTTCTCTGAATATTATGGCTTTATTCTCGTAATTTTTTTTTTTTTTTCTTAGCATGGCCCTGTAGCTCCGTCGGCTGCCTGACCTTTTATTGCTTTGGAGCAGAAGATAGACGGATACGAACCGTTAGTTTTAAAGGCTGCAGCAGTGTTTCAGCGCCATCTGCTGGCCGAATACATGAAGCGCTGTTCGAGTTCAGTTCGACGGGTGAGAAGTCCAAACATGAAAGTAAATGCGGACAGAAGGCAGCCTGAATATTCCGCCTCCTGCGGTCTGAAGTCAGGACCAAGAGCCAAAGCAGAGCAGCTGGCCCCTCACCGTCCAGACAAAGGGCCGGGGCCCCTCATCGGGTCGAGTGCTCTGGAAGAAAGAAAGACAAAAACAGAGGGAAATGATAAAATGTTACAATTAGTTTAACACAGGTAGGAAATGGACTGTACATGTTAATCAACGTAATAATGTTCAATGCAAAAACATGAAAGTCGTCGGATTCGAATTTATACAACAAATGTCTTTTTTTTTCCCTTTTTGTTAATTTTTCATAAGTTCCCAGATTTTTTAAATTGGCATTTTAATATGAAAGCAGAATTGTTCGTAATAAAAATGTACCAGCAGAGACTTACAGGCTGCCCGGGTACAACATCTCATGTGGGCACTTTGATATAATTATTATGTTTCAGTGTTTAATTTAACCGCTTAGAGCTGTAGTAATCAAATGTGGCCAGAGGAGGGCAGCACAGTGACGTTTTTCCCAAGTAGTGAGGCCGAGCAAAACCTCCATCCATCCCGTCTCTGTGTCCGTTTATCCTTGCAGGCTCTGGGGAAAGGTCCGGGGGCCGGTGGCGCCCTCCAGCGGTCAGGTGGAGTAAACCCTGGAAGGGAAGGGCTTTAACAGAGCCCAGTGTCCCTGTAAAACTGGTCCTGTTAAGAAGAAATAATACTAACTGTATTTAATGTGGCACAGAAACCATAACTAATAGGACCCTTGGACTGATTTCATTTTTTATCTTCACAGTTTTACTTTAAAGCGGTAGTATTATGTGTTTTCCAGCACACCGGGTCATTTATAGCACAAACAAGTAACTATGTTACCTTTAGTTGTTATAAAGATGCTGTATAAATCAATTATGATTTAAAAGAAATGGACCTTTGTAATTTAATGCCTTGACTTTCTGCTTTTGTC